GATGGTTGGCATTTTGTACGATGTGTAATCATATGTAATGTGTAATCGATGTACGATTAGGAATCAGTGAGCCAATAGTCAATTGAAAGTATTAATTACACTTACTGCATTATATTGACTAGGTCAAAAAAAGTTCGCCTCGGATTTGAACATTTATATGTAAATTTCTCCAGTTCAAAATTATGACATCCTTTGCGTCAATACTGAGTGAAAATGCAACCAGTTATTTCAATTATTTTACCACTATTTCAAATATGGATGTAAGAAACACCTCCATGTTAAATTATGATATTGAGTTTTCTCAACCTCCAACAAAATTTAAATTTCATCTCCAATACTGATGCTACAAATGCTCTATTTTCAACATATCAAATCCCACGTCAGAAATGCAACAAATTTTGCCAATACAAATTTAACAATCTCTGTAAAATCTCCCAAACCAAGAATCAGCTAATAACACAACAAAATTCACCAAGTACGTCGCAATCCTGCACATTCTCGTCAAACATGAATCATCTCAATAACTCTTCAACAAATAATTCAAATTCCTTTTTGAGAGCCTTTTCAAATTCCTTTTTGAATTTGAATTCTAATTTTACTATTGGAAATTGTAATTCTAGACAATATACATGAAAACGAGAAGTTACAGAGCTTCGATCCTCTGAGAAAACACTGACTGCAAATAAATTTCATTTTAAGCCATCACTTTCTGTTAAAAATTGTTATTCGCTTCTAACAGACAACGTAGAACCTGAAGAACAACTTCACACTTAAAATATTGCCCATTATATTTAAAAATGTTGTAAACGCCTCCAACTTTGGGTGAGATTTTCAAGAAATAGCTAAATCAGAATTCTCCACCTAAGTTATTAAAAATGGAGTTAAAATATAATTTCAAAAGATAGATTTCAGAAAAAAACTAGAAATTTAGTGAAACAAATAATATTCAATTCTACTCTTATCAATATCTTTCTATTAAAACAATAATTATGAAAGATCTTCTTCCTTCATATTCAATTGTAACAATTGACAATGAACTTTGTTATTAAAAGTTCATATACTTTCAAATAGTTTAGAGAACCTATTGAAATATGTTCAGTAGAAGTACTTAAGAATCAAAAAGTATAAAAAATGCAAATTAGAAAAACCTTTTTAAAATGTAATTAGAGTTCAACCAAAAACAACAAATAAAAATCCTTTACAATGTAAAAGATATCAGCAGTTTCAATATACTCAAACAAGTTGTATTTTAGAACCTAGTTGTGTTAAATGTTTAGCCATAATTATTCAAATTATCAAAATGGTAAAACTTCTTCCCCTTCTTGTTTTAATTGCAGTGAGCCGCATACTGAAAATTAAAACATGAACAAATTGAAATTTGCTCAATTGAACTAATCAATAACGAAAAAGCTCCAAATATATTTAAACTACAAAATATATTTTGCAGCATATTTGAAGTTCTAGATAAATTGCGAAATCAAATACCCATTCAATGCATAAGAAGTCAGTGATTCAAGCATATGTTAATCCCTTGTCATTTACCCTCTAGTAGCGTTAGAAGCACTGTCATCGTCTCAAAACCACCTCTCCAGTTAGTGTAAATCAGCGAACAACGTATCACAAATTGCAAAGGTTGTCCTATCTTAAAAAAATATTCAAAACCAAATCTTTCTTTTGAATGTAGAAAATCTTCTGCAATATTTAAGTTATTTTATTATTTATATATTAAGTTGTTTTATTAGTAAGCTCCTCCTTTAAATCATCAAAATGTTTGTTTCGAAAACTCGTATTCCAAACGCAGACATATTTAGATGTCTGAGATGCGCGTTGTTCCATAACCAGGACATTCAAGAATAAGGTGGGAGGTGGAAACTGCTGCACCACGCTTTGGACAGGGTTCTGGATCTGATCTCTTAAATAGATGTCAGAAATTGAGATTGAAATGGCCTATCCTTAATCCTGTCATTACAACCTGTTCTGTCCTCTTAAAATGTTTTTCGAGAAGTGTTGGGTCAAGAATAGATTGTCTCACTAAATAGAGTTTGGAAACATCCAATTTCCAGATAGAGTCCCATTAACTGAGGCAGGAGTATTTTACGTATCTTATTATTTGAAGTCTTGGAAGGTGCCTTGAATATAGTTGTCGGCGTAAGCAACTGATGTGGCGAGGTTAGCGTCTGCATCAGCTTTCTCATTGCGAATGATTTTATTGCGCGAGGGAACCCACATTATTTCTATTTGGGTCCCATTTATAGCTTGCTTTACTAGAATTTCCTGGACTTTTTGGATAATTGGATTGGAAGTGAATCTGTTCTCAATGGCTTTCAGAGTTGATAGTGAGTCTGAAAAAATTGCAATGTCAGTATCTTTTGGAGTTCTTACGCTGATTATAATGGCTTGAAGGACTACCCACGCATCGCAGGCAGCAATGAAAAAGTAATCCGTGAGGGGGTGAGAGTCAATTTTATTAATTGGAGACTGGAATAAAGCACATCCTGCATTTCCATCACGTTTAGATCCGTCTGTGAAGACTTCGTAGAAGTTGTTATATTCTTTGAATAGTGTCCATATTCTTTATTGTGCCCTGTCAATAAGTTCAGAGACATTCATTGGTTTTTTTGCGAGGTCATTATTAGTTGTGATATTAAAATTCTGACAGAGTAGGATGGGATGATTGCGTCTGGGAATACAAAGTGGTTTAGTGATATTGAGTTTTTCTAGATATTTAGGGAGTCTCTCTCTGAGCGGTAATGAGAGCTGTGATCTGGATTCATATAGGCTAGGCTGAAGGTTGTTAAATACATAAATTCAACATTTCATTCAATTTTCTTCCACTATTTTCTCACAATATATCAATTTAAATAATATATATTTTCTTATCTGGAATTCCAATGGAATTAAAAGACAGGAAAAAATTTTACAACACTTCTTATGTTCATGCAAAATTAATACGGCTTGCATTGACGAAATGCATTCAATTCTAGTGGGAAAATTTGGGCATTATCTCGCAACAACTCATACCATTCATCCCTTCAGGAAGAAATTAGATTCAGTTCGATTACGTATTGCCGCGTACTATTGTATATATTTTTGCGCATACTATTGTATTGTACTATACGTATTGTTGCATTTATATTTCCTTGTTAATCTACAAAGTACATTTTCCGGTAAACTGCAGATTCCAGATGTACAATGTAAATAATTAACTATAATAACCCAATCTCTTTTTAAGATTCACATTGATATTATAGCCTGAATAGGGATGTTCCTATCAGGTTACCTACTGCAAATTAATTTTATGTTCAGTGTATTTGAAGTGGCTGCTGTTCAATGTATTGTTGTTATATGATCATTCATGAGAATAATGAAAAGAATACTATTAACATTTTGAAACAAATATTGTTAAGCTGATAAATTAATTACTTTTAATATAAAATTTGCTTTAACTGAATTTGAAACTATAGTACGCCATCGTAGTTGATGCTTGTGGCATGGAGCAGTATCTCTAGAAATCTACTGAAATATTTGGTAACTTACTCAATGACTTCAACGACTCGATTGACTATTGTATAAAGATTTACTTTACTTAAGTTACAACATTCATCTCATTAAAGATATTTAAAGTTAGTTTAATTGAAGATACTACACTTTTGACATGAAAAATAGCTTTCAGTTCACCGGAAAGAAAGAAACATAATTTTTGGTGAGTATTTTCCAATATTTTGGTTGTATCAGACTAAGGCGTGGTGAATATTCATGTGTTTCGAACAAATAAATTTGCTTCGAATTCTGCATGTTCTGTATATTTTGCCCTTTCTCCCTTAAAAAAAACAAAAAAAAACTCCTAGATGCAAACAACTGAAACCATTTCAGTAGTCACACAAAAACGTTGGAGGTTCTGCAAGAACATTTCATATTGTTAATGTTTATTAACTTAAGGTTGAAAAATACCGCGTCTTCATGCCATCTGAACTGATGTAAAATGGTATGACGGTAGATAAAAGTGGTTAGTTAATGTTTTACTTCAGAATTAGCAGTGCGAACGTATGCATGATTCCTGTATTAATCTCTTCTGTCAGGTCTACCAACAAGTTTTGACAAATTCACTAAAATCTGTTGTACAGAAATGAGTTTCGGAAAACAAATCCTAGAAACATTCGAGAATATTTTTTGTAACGTATAAATTGCGAATTGCCCCTTTGTAGTTTCGAAACGCAGTTCCAGATCGGACTTCCCCTACGGTCCCCTTCTCTCCATACTTTGGGCGTCCCCAGAAGGGTTTGCGAACAGCGTGCGAAGAGCGGATGGATCGAGGAAGGCGACGTATTCCGGCGGAGCCATTTGCCTCAATAATTCAGCTCAGGTGCTGCTGACGCCGAGGCTACATCCACTGCTTCTCTCAGCGCTGAGCGCCGACACGGAACACGAGAGAGAGAGAGAGAGAGAGAGAGAGAGAGAGAGAGAGAGGGAGGGAGAG